ATAAAATTCTCGATATATCAAAGTGAACTTAAGTGCAAACATTGAATCGCAAATTGAGCTTCATAGGATTCTAGGAATTTGTTCAGTATTTTTTTTTCGATAATTTGGACAATTTCCTAAAAGTCATCGATACAACACATTTTTGTAGGAGTTGTCATTTTTCCATAATATTTTTTTTTGAAAAAAATCGGCAAAACAAGTTTGGCCCTTCTCAATGGTCAGTCTCGATAAATTTTGGAAAAACTAAGTACATGCAAAGTGGCTTATTTAGTCAAGGTCCACACATCCATAAAGTTTCATTGAAATCTGAGAGGGTGCTGCCAGCTTCGAAAACGATTTGGCGCTAAATGCGTCATTTAATTTGTTAACGTTTTCCTCTTTTGCAGCCTGATTCATTTATAACTAACAAGAACGAACTTTTAAACAGCAGATTTGCCAGATATAACGATTTATTGTTATTTATAACGATTTTTAAACTTGATACCGATATGCAGATGAAGATTTTTGGGATTTTATACCGATTTTTTTAATAATCAAAAAGATTATTACCTGCCCGGCTGAACAGTTAGAACAAAAAACTATTGTGAGAGACTTTCTTTTATTTTTATCTCTTTAAATATTTCAAATTTTTTTAGCCTCAAAATTTTTAAAAATTAATTATATTTAAAAATGTATTATGTGTGATACTCTTTCGACTAATGTATTCATTTCTTCCCCGTTTTTGGCTACCCAGGAATCGAGAAATGGTTCATCCTGGAAATTTCTAGGAATCGGGAAATACTTTTATTCAGTGCATCTATGGATCTACTAAGGCTTAGGATTATAAGACCATCAATTCGTTCATTTTTTAGCCTTTTTGAACTTTATTTAATCTTCCCTTTGATGTTTTTTCCAACTTTCCCTGGATTTTTTCCACCATACCCCGTAAGTTGTTTTCCGATTCCTCCCGGATAGTTAATTCGACTTCCCTTGGAAGGTTCTTCTGGCTTTGCTAAAAAGGTTCTTCCGTCTTCTCCCGCCAGTTTTCTAACTTCCCCTGAGGTTCAGGGATGCTTCCAGAGTTTATTGCGGTTCCATTAGCTTCAGGAAAACTTCAGGAACTTTCAAAATGTTCCTTTTTCGTTAATTACTTTATTTGTAAACTCTACATGGCCAAGTTATAATTTTCTTTATACATTATAAATGTTTTAAATCTAAAATTAAAGGATTTGACCGATTACTCGCGGTCTTCTCGAAGTTAGTGGATGACTTTCAAAAAGTTCTGAAACTTGAAAAAAATATCCAGAATTGTGGGTTACATAAAAGATCTGTAAGGGTAAGTTCCAATAAATTAAATATGTTCTCACTAAGTTCTGCTAAAATTCCAGAACCCAGGAATTTCAGGAAAGTCCAGAAAACTCCAGTGAACTTAAGGAATCATCAGAAATATTTCGAAAACTTCACAAGTCCAAAGAACTTCAGGGAAATTTTATTGTTTTTCAGCACAGTTTCATTTTGGTTCAGGTGATTAGAGAGAACATTAGGTAAGCTCTAATCACATCAAGGAAATTGCTGAAGTTTTAATGAAGCTCCGAGAAACGTCAGAAAAGTTCCGAAAGGTATTGTCATAAACCTGGAAATGCAAGGGAAGTTACATCAGAAAAATTTGAGAACATTTTAAGGGAAGATCTTTAGGAAAATTGCAAGAACATTCAAGGAGTTCCGAAAAATTATGTGATATTCCGATGTGCACTTCAGGAATGTTTCGAAAACTTCAGGGAATAATACCAGAAAACTTGCTGGACCATTAGAACAAGTAAGGAACTTCAGGTAATATTGTGCTAACACCCTCCATAAATCTCTATCTTCCAGATTTGTTTCCCAACTTCTCCTTTCTTTCGACTGGTCTAGAGACCCAGAAGTTTCTTCCAGCATATATATAAAGGAAGTTACATTAATCTTCTGTCAGAATTTTTTCGTCTTCCTCTGGAAGTTTCTCCATTACGCCATTCTACGTAGGTTTTTTCCTGACTTCTATTGGAAGGTTTTTCCGAGCTTCTTCTGGCTTCCCCTGGAAATTGATACTCCTGGAATTCGCTTCCGAAACTGATGTTTTCCGACTTTTCTTAGAACTTTCTTCAATCTTCCACCAAAAGAGTTTCTTTATTCTCTCTCTGAAAGTTTTTCGATTTCCGTCAGAAGCTAATTCATTATTAGTCCAAAAGTTTGGATTTTCGCCATTAAAGACGATAAAAATAAAAAAAAATAATTAAAAAACAAATAAAGAGTTGTGTTCTATACACAACCGCAGTATGACGTAGAACCACGCAAAATTGATGTATGTCATGCATTTTCGACTATTATCCTTTATCTTAAATTGGGTGTTATATAACTTTTCCGTGTGTCGTTTAAGTTAAACGGAAACCAAGTTATATTTCAGCCCATCGTTGGTTGTGAGAAGGTGATCACGCCGTGATCCACCTTTATCCGCTGACTTGGTGCAGGATCAAGTGCCACGCCGTCCGAAGCGGTAATGAGCAGAGGTACGACAGCAGCGCTGTTTTATATCTTTTCAGGTTCAAGCAGAACGATGTGCAACCTGATGATGATGATGACTGGGCTTAGGAAAAACGTTTATTTCATTAAAACAGAGATAAAATTATCATTTGTACATTTGTAAAATGTTTTTTAAAGTAAAATCAAAAAAAGAACATTTATTTCAGCAGATTCGTAATGTATTATCCAATCGATTGGCGTATTTGGATTCTATTTTCATCAATAAATGGCAAAGTTACAAGCGTTTAAAACCTAACACTGTTTCACCATACATATTTTTTTGCTTTGCACTTCAGTATAGTCGACAAAGGCGTAGTTCTACATCAATAGTAAATACCGATAAATACTGTTTTTTTAAACATTTGATACCGATAAGCTTGAAAACTAGACTGATATGTAGTGGCTAGTGGAACATCGAAAACCACGTAGGGTGGGTGAGCCAGTAGTGGAGGTACTAAGGCAATTTATCAATTTAAAAATAAATACACGATGTACACACAATTGTTATACGTCAATCTATAGCTTTCAACCTCTATTTTGATAGAAAAATATTACATTGTATTAAAATTGCATAAAATTTTAGAAATATCGTCCTCCATTAATAGAAACACTGTTCCAGTAGTTGTGGTAGTTGCTAACTTTGTTTCCTATAATAGTGGAATGCGTTGGTTTCTTATGGGTTCTATTATTATAGGCACACTACCGCAACTATAGGTGCAAAGGAGTGAAAATCTTAAGGAAAATTAATTATTTTCCGTCATTTTTGGGGATATTTTAAGTTTGAAATATGCAAATATGCTTTATTTTAGGAGAGCTACCGCTGAAAAATAATCTTATCCGGATCCTCCACACTATTCCGGCACAACCTCCATACCGCAACTATAGGTACACCACTATTACTGGAACACCTACCCTATATACGGATGAGGACATAGCTTGATCTGAATCGAGAAAAGACATAACAAAAAAAAAATCCCATTAACGCACGTGTATCACCTTCGGCTTTACTTCGTGAAGCAGCTTGCCAACAATTTGCTCGTTTCCTTCTACCGCCCCGAGTGAGCTGTGACGCACGGACTGCTTGTCATGAAAAAGAAGGTTAAATCATTTTTGCTTCCACTTCTGACATAGCGATATCATTCAATTCGTTGATCGTTTGTCGTTTTGTCATTTGGAGATATTTTTCATTCCTTGATCTGAACACATTAATCGCGGGAACTATTGGGACGGGTTTGGCAAAATTTATCGAATACTCTACAATACGTGTAGACCTAATTGGGTATGACATTATGACATATGCAGGGCTGTTACAACATGCGCGGATTTTGCGGATTTGTAGTGGATTTGAACTGTCAGTCGCGAACATCGCGGAAACATTAAATGATGTCGCGAAAATTCATTGTGATGACGCGAATTGTTTTAAGGAATAATTATCACGACTTTCTATGTATCGTGAATTATGGTGTACAGAGCAGTGATGCCCGAGGTGATACCAACATTTTTTTTGAGCTGGATTCTTCCAGTTTTTAAACGCAACCAGTTCGCAAACAGTTGAAGTTTGAAATCTTCCAGTTTTTATAGAATTAAAACTGGATAAATTTCCAGCTTTACATTATCATTTGCAAATTTTTTTGAAGTATGATTACCTGTACAGAATGACTAAGATGCTTACACTAAAAACTTTTATATTAATTACTTTTGAGTAAATTGCATATTCTCAAATTTACGTGAATGAAACTCAATTTTAGGCAGAGTAAGTAATTTTTTTTGTTGTGGAAACTACTATACGCGATTTACTCCAATTTGTGTTATTGGGCTGAACCCGTGAATTGAGGGAAAAGTACTTAATTTTGGGTAGTTTTTCATCTCCGTGTACCCGAGCTATCGTTCGTTCGACTTGTTACATGTCGTTCTCAGTCTTCTCATTTAATTCTTTCTCGTTCTTGCTCTTCGTTCACTGCCGGGACCTAGTTCTTTTGAACCGTTCGAGAACGAAGCGCCCATCTCTACTCTAAACATAAGAGCATCAAATGGGTACTAATCTGAACCCCACAATAACCGCCCAATTTAAAAATAATAATAATGAATTATTCGTTTTGGAGTTAAGTTTATAAACCATTTATTTTTTTTATTAATATATTAGTGAATGGATTTTTTGATTTTTTTTTTCATGAAAACGGTGATAACATTACTTGTTTTTATTTGAACATTTTTTAAAAACTTTTTTATGGGACATTGTTAAATTATTTTATTCAGCAGATTCGCAGAGTTATTTTCTATTCTTGGTGTACTTGGATTTTACTTTCATCTATAAATGACAAAGTTATAAGCGTTCACCGAACACCTTTTCGTGACGATCGCAATTCTCGATTTTTGATTAGAGATCACAAAATTAGAAATGTGTTTTTTTTTTCGTTTTTACCATGCGTCCCCATCGATTTATAGCGACTGGTTACCCTAATGACAAAATAAAAAAAAACGGGTCTAATATTTTGCGATAAGGAACAAAACTACCCATCTTTACGAAATTCTGAGAACCACTATATCGTTTTGCTATGGAATGGCTGAATACTATAGTCTGCCTTGATCCACACTATTCCATTATTTAGCCTTATCACTGATCATCAGGCTGGAAAATATCCACATTAAGCAGATGTTTGTACATGGCTTGCAACGTTGTTATTAGGTACCAGTTGTTTCCTTCAAAACTCATCAACCCTGTCAAGGTACTGATCTCTGCACCAAAATGTGGCACACTCGCCTTTACTACGAGCATCTCCGTTAGCGGGATCAGTGCATCAGCTCCGTCTTTTTCTAAGCTCAATTAAAAGTATTAAGCATTTCAATGATCGTAAAAACATGTCTAATCAACTTACTGTGCTCAACCAGCGTTTTGTTGAGAAGATTGAAAACCTGTTGTATGACGTACATCGTTTCGCAAGGATTGCGATTGTTCTTGAAACTGGAGAAAAGAGCCACCGCTTGTTTGAAATTGTTATTTTGCAGCATATCAGCTCTGTAAGAAGAAGAATATTGAAAATAGTGAATACAGTAGTGAAATGAACGAACCATACTCTTTGCATTCCATATGCTGCATGATAAACTCATCTGTTCGTCCTTCGAAGAATAGCATCTTTTGACTGTATAATTCGTCCAACTCCCTGTACTGATGAACGTACAGCTGAAGCAGTGTTAGATATATTGCATCGGTCAAGACAATCGGATACATCAATTGAAACGGTGTGGGGTCGCTGTTTGTTGAAATAAAACTTTGATTAAATTGCACACATGTGAGTGATAAACTGCCGGTGGAAGCATAACTATCCCATGTGTATAGAAAATTCCATACTTAGGACATGGGACAGTGTCCTTCGGCAGTAAAGTTAATCTTACATTGAATTTCCATCCATATCGTAAACCAGTTTGGGCAACGCTGGAAACATACGCATTATTAATGAGGTGTAAATACGACTGCACATTGCGATCAGTTCCTGTTTCGCCATTTCACAAAGTAATGAATCCTTTTCCGGTTGGGAATATGTTGCGAAAAAACAGTTCCCGAGAAGCTCGTGAATATGGCATAGTGGATGGCTTTGGTTCTGAAATGCATCGCCAAGATATTTTTGCAATTTCTCCCAATCGTTACAGTCGATTTCAGGCGCGACATCCAGTTCTTTTGATAAAGTCGAATGTAGATGAGGGTCGTTGTCCATATCGTCCGCTTCACCGTAGCCTTCCACGTCATTGAGTGGCTTTTCTGACAGCAATGTCAGTGCATGACCGTACTGACAAAATCGAGCAATCTTGTCTTCGTCGAAGTCGGAAAATATGAGTTCGAACCCTTTTTTTTTGAGTTGTTGTTTGCGCTTTGCCCGAGCCATGTAGATTCCTATCTTGATCCATATTTTGCCTCCATCAACCTGTTCGTCAATGCTATCGGTCCCTAAAACGTGCTCTGCAAAGCTGTTGAAGACGGATGCCCATATGGTTTCGGGTGGGATGTGATCTTTCAAGCTGTAATTTTAAAGAATAACTAGTAATATACTTAATAGGAATTACGATAGTTCTGCAGATTCTCACCACAACACAGCACTTTTCTGTTCGCTTCTCTCAAGTTTTCCATTGGAAACGATAACATCATCCCACGTTCCTCTAAAAAATCCGGAAAGAGCATATCCGATTTGTCCGGTTTCGTCAGGATTTGTGAAAATATTCATTGAACCTTTGGCGGGGTGGAACCAGGTCCCATTTCCGAGCGGTCCTTCGAAGGATAGCAGTCCCTTGAATGACCTTCCATCGCGAAATATTGCGACTCCTTTTTCGGTGCTGTGCAGTTTATCGTCCTTAAACTGTCCAAAGATACACCAATCCTTATCGATGCACGTTGTATCGTTGCTAATCATGATTCCTTTCCCCTTCATTTTGTCTTTCGAAAACAGTCCTATGTACTTGACGTGATGGTTTTCTCTTTCATTCTTTACCAAAACCCCGAAACCGTCTTTTAATCCTTTCGAGTAGCCTCCCCTGTAGCAACAGTTTCCCCTATCCAAAAATCCAAATCCGTGAAACTCGTTATTTTTCATGTAACCCTCATATTTCCAATGCATTGCAGGTGTAGTGACTTTCAGTATACCATATCCATGAAATTTGCCATTGATGAAATCACCTAACCGTAACAAATTTAAAAAAAAGTTCTAAGTTGCTTCCAAGTATCAAGTCCTAAATTCTAATATAAAATTTGAAAAAGTTACCTTCGTACTCCTTGACACTATCGTTTTCCGTCTTGGTCATTTGCCCATATCCGCTTATTTCACCTCGATGCAGCTCTCCCTCGTATTTCCAATTCCGACCTTCCAGTTTTCCAAATCCATCAATTTTTCCTAGCCTCCAAAAACCTTCGTACTTCATGCCGCCATACTTTACATGTCCTTCCCGAAATAGATACGAACCACTTCGAAGCACTGCATGCTCCACAAACTGCAAATCCAGGTTCTGGCGAATATACTGCGTCAATTTTTCCACCCAAATTGTTCTATCCTCCATTGTTTCCGCATAATTGTGTATCACCTCCTCAGGCGTATACAAGCTCACATTAAATCGATGATTGTTATCAATTTCTTTGGTTGAGAGCCATATCAAATTCAAAGGATATACAACCAAGCTGCTATCGCCAATGTAACCGATAAAGTCAGAAAACAGAACCATTCTTGAAAACAATAATGAGTTTCTCATAGGAATACTATCAGAATCCAGCACAACTCGACGGTGAGGTGTTTTAAGTGAGAACCATGCTTCGTTCTTCTGATTGCTCCAAAAGCTTGCAGTAGATTGAGCCAACTTGATCTCTTCAGCTACCGTATCATTTAATTTATGCCAGACTTTTTGTATTCCTGGTAAACTCAAACCATCTACCAGCAAGCTGATGCTTTTCAAGTTTTCTATAAAGACGTCAAATATTTCGAAAGTTGATTGCTCCAAGGACGTCACTCCAATCGAGATAGCATTGCAATAATTTGTCAGCATTTCTTGGTATTGATGAACAAGCTCCTTGTGCATTTGTACTGCTATAATTGCTGAGGCATTACCTTCCAGAAGAAATTTGCGCAAAGATTTCACGTTCAGTATCAGCAAGTAGTATAAATTATTACAAGACTGCTTAAATTTTTCCACCAGTACAATGTTGTTTATATACTCCAGATCGTTCAGCTCATGATCCGAAATCTTTCGCTCTTCACTACAATGATTGGAGATTTTTTCACTCAATATCGAAATAAACTTGCAAAGCATCACATATTGGTTTATGGGTGCTTTTTGTATGGGTAGCTTATTGACCAGGATCAGCTGGTCAGTTGCCAGTATCATCGGCACATCATCCAAATCAAGATCCTTCAGATGATCCTTTTCTTTTGTGTTGGCTTTATGATCGTAGCTTTGATAGTTGTCCTTTGAATTTGCATCATAGATCTTAAGGTCATGCGTAACGACGTATGTTCTGGATTGTCCACAGGCTACGTCCAGCACATTGTTGCCTGAAAGCAGCAATTCAGGAGATGGCGACTCGCTCAGAGGATTTCTGTTGAGGAATAAATTGCCGTCTGCTGTTAAGATGACCACGTGGTTGGCGCATGAGGCAATCTTGGTGATGTTGGCAAGTTTTAAATCGCAAACTTTTTCCGCTGAAAGAAATAATTATTGTGATCATGCAATTCATAACAATTATTACTAATTTAGTACTTGCTAAAATTTGAACTGAGACATCTGCATCCCTCATAAAATTGTCAGTAACTAATTGAAACTCTTTTAGATTCATAAATTGGTGAATTGTTAGTGTGCCAGAGATCAAAATGTTTCGAAAAATATACATTTACTGAGAAATTTCAGCAAACACCAACTGGTAGCATACACGGTACAATCGTAGAGGTAACTCTGAGACCCGAACGTCCCGAAGAAACGAGCTTTTTGGCTCAGCTCTGGTACTATCTTCAGTCCCAAGCTAATCGATGCACCCCTCGAAACATTGGAAAATCTACGAACCCCTCATTTTACCTGTCAAACTTTCATAGCGAATCAAAACAAACATAGTGTAGTAATAGAATTTCGACTATTATGGGGTACGTTAATCGATTTGCTTGGGACCAATAGGCTAGTCAAGTAGTTAGCCAATTTAAAATCGTTAGTTACCACCGGCTGCTAATACACTCCACATTTTTCTTTCTCCAATTTCTTGCATAGGATCGCAGCTCGGTATATCGCATCCTCGGTTCATGCGGTCTCCACTTACATCCTCTAATGATGAATCCCACATAATTATAAGCGAATCTTACATCCCCCGGTTGGGTGTACTAAATAGAGCTAATATACTATAAGGAAGAATAGCGCTGGTGTTCCCTTTGTTCCGATGTTGAATAATACCGGGTACAGAACTGTCAAACTGCATAGTTACTTCTCGCTTTGACAGCTAGTTGTGTCCCTATTAGATGTAAGGAAAAGATGTTTCGACAGCGACGGCAGCGCTATTCTTCCTGTATAGTTTATTAGCTCTATTGTGTACTAATCCAATATATTTCACTTGACTTGACCAAAAAAATTGGAACTCCGTTCATAGTGACTATGTGACTACTACTAGGTTTCGAAAAGAAAGCTCTAGGCTTATCTGGAAATATTATAAGTTGAGTTTTGGAACTGTTGGGAGAAATCTTCCAAATCTTACAAATGTGTTGGAGCTTTCCATCGCTAGTTCTAAAATAACCATTGGAAAATAGCCCTCTAAGGAAAAGATCGATTTTCACAACATTTTAACCAAACATAAACATTCTATTTCAGGTCATTCATTAGTCGGAATAACCTTCGAAATTTTCGAAAACATCATGTGTAAATATGCGCTTATCACTGAGAAAGTTATTTTACAGAAAATCTTCTAAAAATAGCGTTTTTTTTTTACCGCTGATTACAAGATTACATTATAAAATAATACTCCTGAAAAGTTCAGTGCTGGGTTTCCAGGGGTATCTAGTCAAATCTCGAGTCGAAATAGTCAATGTTATATGTACCCCATCATGCGTTTTTGTGACGTCATATTCAATGGCTCGAAAATAGGGTAGACGGGCCTTGATGTAGTCGAAAACTGATTGTATTTGGAAGATCACCTTATAAAATAGTACTCCTGAAAATTTGAGCGTTGGGTACCGAGGGGTACCTAGTCAAATTTCGTTTATATATATTTAGTACAAGTTATAAACCAATGTGTGCTACGAGTGTGCTACGAGTGTGCTACTTACTTGAGCTTGAGCTTGAGCTTGATTGACCGCCCACGGTTGCTACTCTGTTACTGCCAGATCAGCTGTAATTACACAGAGAACCAATAGACGATGCTTGGGACTAGCAATCATCCTCAATGTGTAAAAACTGGTGATCTTAAATTAGGCAATACCAGCGCCGGCCGCGCCCGAACACAGGTCAAGAAAGGAATGGGAAGGATTGTGTTCACATGACACTCGCTTTGATGGAAGCCGAGAACACCTCTGCACTTCCACGAGGAATCACTGGGATGTTGGATAAGAGGGTTGGGTTTGCAGCAGGGTTCGTTTTGGTAAACGATAAGCTGAATTGATGTCCTAACGATCATATACCGCGAAGGAACTTGGGACTAAACCCACGGTCTTCTGCTCAGTAAGCAAAAACGTTTGCCACTAGGCAGACGAGCACCTTTTTAATCACCGAGTTGCTGTTATTACCATGTAGTCATATTAACAAATAAAACGATTGACGAATCTTGAATGTGGATGAGCCTGAGATTAGACTCATGATGTTCTGCTCAGTAAGCAAAAACAGTTGCTCTAAGGCCACCGAGCCCCTCATATCACATAATACCTTTGCTCAAATTTGTGTATCCATTCAAACCCGGAACCAACGACAACAACGAGTTTCGCAAAATACACGATACACAAGCGATTTTACCATAAATCTCTTTGATATGTAAGGACCTGGGACCGCGTTTTTCTGCTCAGTAAGCAGGCCACTGTAACCGACGATCTTTCAAATCCGAAAACTAAAAACTACGAAAAAGTACTTAGACCTTCATTAAGTTCCACTTTCACGCGACGTTCAATGACAGGGTCCTATCCAGGATTACATCTGAAAAATCCAAATCTGGCCAACGCCCACCCTAAACCTAAACCTGTTCTAATCCACGTGAAATGACTAACGAATGGAAGACTTTGACTACCCAACCATGCAATAGTCTCATTCCGTGCCTTATGGCAACTTGATGATTCTATTGCGCTCATCTTTTGGCACCACCCAGCGGAGACTTGGTCCTGTACCCAATGCTTAACTTATCTCCATTCCACTCAGCTACTCGCAATTTCTTGTGATATAGTGGGCGGAATATTATTATATGAGACAATTCAATGCAGACGTCTTTCCAAATTTGGCAGATCGACAGGTAATCGGTGAGTTACCACGATAGTTGCTATTCAATAACTCGACAACGTCCCATCGTCAACGCTTGCTATGAGAATTTCCCATTGCAGACGCCAACGAAATGACGTCATCGAGCTATCGATCAACTACCCTGGTTATCGCCTGGTACCTTATAGCACGATGCTAGGAGGCGAACCGGAAGAATCGATGAGGTACCTCTCCCCCAGTGCTACGAGTGTGCTACTTACTCATGATAAAATTTACAACTATATAAAAATGCATTATCTTGAAATGTAATCAATGGGTTTGTTCATCAACTTTTTTTTTCGTTATTGTTTTTTGTTTTGTTTTATTGATTTATGTTCATCAACTGTATATTCTGAACTTTGATATTTTGAGTATAGACTGTTCCAGAAAGTATAAGCACACCTTATTTTAACGGTCACTTTGAATATAATGAAATATTTCAACATGTTTTGGCTGCGTCCTTTTGTTTGCT